TAAATTTACGGTAGCATCGGAGCAACGATGCAGGAGCACAGGTAATTTGTAGCCATTTTCTTTAATTTTGTATGAATTAGATATTCATCATTTTCTTTCGAGAAGATTTCATATGAAAAAAAGGAGATTTTTTTTATACTATTTTCGGATCGATATTTTTATCCAAAAATATTTCTGTACGCTTAAAGTACGGTGATTCAGCTACGTTTACATGCACATTTTATCTTAACTTTTCTTTCAAATATGACTAATATTTCAGTTTTTTAAATTTTCGTACGTCAGTCAAATTTGGAAGAAACCAAATTAAGGTTTGATATGTTAGCTAACTTAGTTGAGACAAAAAATTAATACAGTGCGTAGTATTTCTAGTACAGATGTTTGGTTCTCGGTTCCGGTTCCTCATATGGAACCGAAACGAAAGAAAGCGCGGTTCTCGATTCTCAGCTTAGAACCGGAAAACAATTTTTCAGGCAGTAACAATTCAACGAAATAGAATTCATTTTATAGTAAATGAAAGGATACTTTTAAATAATGACAGACAAATATATTTTTTTGGAGCTTTGTCAATATATCTTTTTGTAGCTTTGTCAATATATTTTTTTGGAGCTTTGTCAATATATCTTTTTGTAGCTTTGTAAATAGTGTGTTTTCATTTTGTTAAAAGAAAGGCAGGTCAAACAGTCTCGGTTCCGAAAAAGGAACCGTCTAAGAAATCGCGTTTCCTTTTCCACTGTCATAACCGGCATCGCGGTTCCGATTCCCGATGAAGAACTGAAAATAAAAGAATCACGGTTCGGGCTCTTCACGGGAATCCAGAATCGAGTATCCCTAGTAGTAGGCTAATCCAAGTGTCCAATGCCTGAGCTTTTTCGTAACTAATAATGTGATTTTAAAAGAAAATTTTTTAAGTTCAAATAAAATAAAATAAGAATGATGGCAAAGATGTTTCGTGTGTTACTCTTCTAGTTTCTTCCTTGTCAAATCTTCTCAGAAACAATTGTTATTTTTTAGATAAGGTTTGTGTAGTGTGGTTAGGATAATTGTATCTCTCTAAAAAAAAATCGGAACACCAGATTCATAAATGGGTGGTGTATTTACGAAACAAGACTTTTATTATGTGTACACTGATGAACCGCATGCAACACGTCGAAAAGAAATTTTGAGTAAGTATTCAAAAAATTTATTTTTAGTTTATACAACTACTCGGTTTGTCTAATCCATTCGACAATAGTCAGTATCATTCTATTTCTTTTATAGCGAGTCAACGGCGTTTTTCTTAGGTATGCTGCTGATTAAGCTCAGAAACTTTAAAATATATAAAACACATTGCAAGTAATTGAGATTTGATTTATAATGGATGTTTTCGTCTAACCAGTGTATTGATTTGACTGATTAACCAATTTGAAAATGCTTCACAAATAGTATATACTGTTTCTTTCATTTGCTTCTCCAACGATGACAGTGGATCGAAGGGAACTTAGATGCTGCTGATATTCTTTTATTCTAATGACCTCTGGAGATTCTCTGCTTGAATAAATATACTAATTTTTATAAAAAAATTGAATTTATTATTGACTTTGTATAAAAAATCTAACAGTAGCTGGTTAAAGACTAAAACAGACGTCTTCTATTAGATATTTGTCATTTTTTCATGAAATCGTACTAATAATTTGGTTGCTGAAAGACAAGAAACAAGACGTATTTATTTATACGAATCTTCTTTAAGAAAAATATCCTGAAATTAAAAATTTAATGGGTCATGATTGGAGAATATCGATTCAAGCAGTAATCTGCGTGCTACTACAAATAATTATGGCCATATTAATACGTGAATCATCGTGGAAATTAGTCTTTCTTGTTGCTTATATTATCGGTGGGACAATAAATCATTCATTAGCATTAGCATTACATGAGTTGACACATAATTTAGCGTTTGGACATTCAAGACCGATGTGTAATAGAATACTTGGATTTATTGCAAATTTACCTTTAGGCGTTCCAGCATCAGTCACATTGAAAAAATATCATCTTGATCATCATAGGTAAGAATAAAGTTCTACAAATTTCACTCTAAATTGCTAAAATTTTGTGTGTTCTGTAGATTTCAAGGAGATGGTGAATATGATACAGATATACCAACAAATCTTGAAGTAATGTTATTTTCAACACGTCTCGGAAAACTTGTATTTTTGATAATAATGCCATTTTTATATGCATTTCGGCCAATATTTGTTTTACCAAAAGCTATTCATCTGTTAGAAGTCATTAATTTTATAACAGCATTTTTATTTAATTTTATTATGTACTATTATTTCGGAGGAAAAGCAACACTTTATTTTACATTAAGCACAATACTTGGATTATCCATACATCCAATTTCGGGTCATTTTATAGCAGAACATTATGTATTTATAAAAGGACATGAAACATATTCTTATTATGGACCATTGAATTGGATAACATACAATGTGGGCTATCACAATGAACATCATGATTTTCCATTTATACCTGGATATAGATTACCAAAAGTAAGACGAATAGATATTTTTTTTATCAGCTAAAACACAGCATACTTATATTCATATTTTTAGGTACGTCAAATAGCCGCTGAATATTATGATAATCTACCTCATTATGATAGTTGGACAAAAGTTTTATATGATTTTGTTATGAATAGAGACGTTGGTCCATGGTCCAGAGTAATACGTCCAAGTAAAATGGGAAAATCTGTTGTTATTAGTCAACAAGAATATGAAAAGCAAGTGGCAAAAGCTCAAAACTAGGATAGAATTGCAGTTGTTTTTTTTGCATTTGTAAGTCAGGGAGATTTTTTTCGCAATTCAATACTCATAATTAGAAAATCCTCCTGTCTTCTTTGACCATCCTTAAAAAGTCCAAATCATTACTACCTTAAAAAAACGATCTTTTCTATTAAGGCTCATCATTTTAGATTAGGCGTTATAAATTTTTTTCCTAATTAACTAGTGAAGTTTTTTCTTGGATTTACAATTCGTTCTCTATTTTGTTTTGATGTTTTTCTTTTCTTTTCTTTTCTTGCAATAGTACGGTTGTCATTGTAGTAATGATCTAGTACTGTGGGATGCTTGAACAGAGGAAGAAATTATGGGGCTGCTTTTTGATGTTGTTGTTACGTATAATCTCATCTTTTTGTTGGAAACAAAAAAAATATTTGTGACAGACTCAAACAGAAAATTATTTTTTGCGCATTTATTCTTCCTTATATCATGTCTCTCTCTCTCTCCCTAAGACTAGATTGCCGATTGCACCGGTGAAGTCATAAAGTTTTTTATCTGCACAAACCAAATATAATCACTTCTTTGTGGCATTTATATGACTGTTGAACACTGTCATAATGTTAATAATACACTCAGTACAAGGTAGTTCTTTATGTCCGGTTAATTCATAAACAGTGTAATATTCTTCCATTTTTTGTTGTCTATTTATCAAAATCCTAATCCGGTTAACAAATATCTACAGGACAATATAAAACTATATCTTTATGTCCTTTCGCAATTCGTTTTCTCTCATGATTCTTCTTCCCTTTTATGTGAAATAAACTAAAAATTATTCGCTTAGCGAATAGTTGTTAGTTGTTTTTGATTATTTATGTGAAACATTGTTACTATTTTACGTCAATGTGCTTGAAGTTATGTAGACAAAAAGGAAATATTTTATTGTCTTCCATTATTTTATTGCGTTGGTTATTTATTTTTATTTTGCTGTTGTTGTTCGTCAGTTGTTTATACTTTTATGTGCTGATAAACATTATATGGTAAAAAAAAAAGATATTTGATGAAAAATGAATTATTCTGAATGAACATACGGATGAGACTTCTATTTATTTGTGCGTGTGAAATACGTGTTTTATTTGTTTTTCGACTGTCTCTATGTACTCTTGTTTACACTCCACCATATATCAAATACTATTGAATGCATGAAAACATATAATTAATTTTTTTATCCAAAACAAAATTTAAGGATATTCTTTTCTTCAATGAAGAACAGTAGAAGATTCAAGATATTTTGTTTTATACTACGGTACATTTATAAAAATGGAAATATTTTTTCACATACTTCATGACTCAGTAGTACACCTGTTTGCGTTGTTTTAGATGTTTAATTGAATAACAGCGTAAATCACATTAGATGTGTTGCGAAAATAAAATCTGATTGAAAAATGAAAAAGATTGAAAGTACTTGATGTAATACTATGTTAAATAAGAACAACAATAATGGACGGATTACATTGAACGGACTTTACGGTTAGAATAAAAAATAAAATAAATAATTTTGATATTGTTGAAAAAAAAATTTATGAACACTAAAATTGTGTATAAAAACATCAATAAAATGTTGCACAGTTACAAGAAACATTCTTCGTCAGACGTCTCAGAAATAAAGTGCACACCAACATATCGCAGAACAAATAATACAACAAGTCTTTTGTATGATAATATAGTATAGACGTTATTATTACTTTCTTCATTATGTCATTTCTAAATCGATTCTTAATTCAGTATTTGATAAGCTTTTGTTTGTTCAAAAAACGAATAGATAAATTGAAGAACAAAAGGAAAAATATATATGTATCAAGACAAAAATATCATTAATAGCACAATTACAAAAAGAAAGTAGGATACGAAAATATAATATACTAAACAATGTATAGGGATGGGCCGTTGTAATATGATAAATTGAACAAATTTGTTTTAGCAAAAGAAAAGAAAATATAGAATAAAGAATCTAGCAACAAGAAAAATATTTGTGTTTGTTGAATGTACTTAAATTTACCTCACTTCTATAAAATATTAGTAAAAATAAAGGACGATTCAATTAAACGATTGGATTGTATATACTTATTTTGCATCATATTGGTGAGATTTCTTCATGTTATGTTTTAAGAACAAATCTGTAACTTAGTGCAATATTTTTAGGCAAATTGTCTCTAATATTATGATGAGTTGAATGATGTATCTCTCTTAGTGAGTTTTTGAATGATCAACATCAACTGTCGATGATATCATTTTCTGTTGATAGTCGTTTTTCTTTTTATGTGGTAATTTATGATTTTTCGTAAGAGATGTTGTTGTATGTTGAGCAATAGAAGTAAAAGTATTATTATTGTTGTTATCTGCTTCATGTAATATTTTATTCAATTTGGATTTGGTTGAATTTGTCGTTCTATCTGCACTATTTAATGCATCTGATTTTAGTGTTCGACGAATTCTCGCTTTTGGACCCATTTTTGAATCAAGTACAAAATCAATAAGAACTTTTACCCATGAATAATGACAAGGACGATTATCATAGTAATCTGGTGCCATTTCTTTCAACTATAATAAATAAAAAGAAAAGTCAACTCTAAGAACTGTTTATAGTGTTAAATACAAATTATTTGATTAACTGACACTTGAGCGACCGATATTTTAGAAATTCTGACATTTGAGCGAAGCGCATCACTTCTAGCTGCTCAGCCTCACACTCATTCCCACCCTCAACAGGTCTCTAAATAATTCAGTTCATAATCAGATGACAAAGAAATTATTATCATCATCGTTATTAATCGTTATCGAAGTGAACAATCATTCCATTTCCCTGATCGGAAAAAAGTCATATTAAAAAGTGTCTAATGTCGAGTCACTCAAATGTTGGTTGACGAAATCGTTTGTTTCACCTTGGGTAATCTATAACCGGGTATATTAGGAAAATCATGATGTTCATTGTGATATCCAACATTAAATGTTAACCAATTCAATGGTCCATAATAAGAATATGTTTCATAACCTTCGACAAATATATAATGTTCTAAAATAGTACCAAGTATTAAAAGAATAATAAAAAAGCCTATCAACTTTCTTTCTTACCAGAGATAAAATGACCACTAATCGGATGTAAACCTAATCCAAGAACTGTACCAAATAATAGATAAACAACTGATTTTATACCAAGAAAATAAAATATTAATAAATCAAATACAATTTGTATTAACAAGTTTATGAATTCTAATAAATTCACTGGTTCTACAAAAAAATAATCGATATTTAAAATGAGAATAGTCTACATATACACTATACATCTGACTTTTTGAAACTTACTTGGCACACGACACAATGGACGGACACTATACAAGACTGGTTGTAACAGGATATAAAAAATTTTTCCAATTCGACTTTGAAATAGCCATGCCTCAAAATAAGTGGGCAAATCAGGATCAAGGTTATCATCACCTTGAAATCTAAATTAAAACACAATATAATCATTCAATCTAATATATATATTATATAGATCTATACATGAACACTTACTTGTGATGATCAATATGGTATTTTTTGAATGTGACAGATGATGGAATCATTAACGGTAAATTTGCTATATAACCTAACACTCGATTAGCCATCGGTTGATGATTACCAAAAGCTAAATTATGACCGACTACGAAACAAAAAAGAATTCATTTTTTTTATTTTAGTAAAAATAAAATATATTTACTTACTTTCATGAAAACTAATTGATAAAGAATGATTTAATGTTCCACTAATGACATATGTAGCAAGCCACAGGAATTTCCATGATACATCTTGAATAAGAATAGCTATAATAATTTGTATGCATACTGTTATAACAACTTGAGCGGCCACACGCCAATCATGACCCATTAGTTTTTTAACCTCTGGATATTTAGCTGCAACACACAATAATACAGCGTTTGACATGGTTAAGATTTTTACCCATTTGAGCAATTTCGCTTACCAAGCATTTCTTTACGTCTAGTTGTGTGTGGCTCATCTGTATACACCCAATGAAAATCACTACGGGCTAATTTTCCACCCATCTTATCTTATAGGTCAACAATGAATTGATTATAGCTAAAATAAATACTACTGTAGCAATCAAATGCAAAAATTTTTATAAAAATGATGTGATTTAAATATCTACCAATAAAGTAACGTATTAGCAGAAACAGAATATCTTCTCTTAGTTGCTCTTCTCATGCATATTTCTGACTTATCACGTTGTGAAGAAATTTCTCATACATTTGTAGGAAGTCCGATCATGGCTAGTGTAATTCACCTACGAATAGAATATAGAACATGTTCTTTAAAAACTATACAGGTAAACATACTCAGTATTGATGACAAAGCAAAATGATATAAATAAACGATCGATTTTCATTTCTCAACTAATAGATGCTATGTATGAAGTATCTCACAAAAAACAGTACATGTTGTCAAAGATTTAGCTGATAGATTTAGACTGCTGCTATCAACTTTTCCGGTGACGCTAACTAAATAGTCACTATATAGTTAATGAACATCAGTTCATTTTCGTATCTATTTGAACACCTTCAATATCTGAATTGTAAATTGTTTCAAAACGTATATAAGCAGCTTCTTTCTACCTTTCAGTACTCAACTGATAAAGGGTGGCCCAGAAGTCCTGACTCGATTTGAATAATAAATTTTTCTATAGTGAAACAAGTGATAGTAAATTGGTCTCTATGAAGAACTTTTTTTTACGGAAATAATAGAAGAAGAAGAAGGTTAAGTAAAACAAACCAAATTTACAAAGTTTTTATTTTTTTTGCCTCGTGTATAATTTGCTTAGTAGTTCTGAAATTAACGTTTAGGTACGGATTTTGTAGAGAATTTCACGACGCTTCTATTAAAAAAAGAACTTATTCTAGGGGACCTGAGGAACAGGAACTAAAGCAAAAATACCGAGACCGGATTCACGGTCGATTTTTCTTTTTTGTGAAGCATATTTCTAAGCTTATAACATTCCTACTAGATGAGCTAACGGGGTCAATCAATAGTCATCTTGCAGAGCGTTTTTTACTGCATCTTTTCTTCATAAAGACAAATTTACTATCACTTGTTTCACTATAGAAAAATTTATTATTCAAATCGGGTCAGGACTTCTGAGCCACCCTTTATACTGAGAATTATGTTCAAAAGAATGGAAGATGTTTTCACTTATAATAAAGTGTGATGAAATTACTCAAAGGTAAAATAATGTAGCATGACTATGAAAAGAAAGAGATCATAAAGTAGTGGAACTTACAATTCAGTATAATAATCAGTAAACAATATATATGTGCGTCATATTGTTTATTAAAATCAAAAAACATTTTTCGTTTAGAATACGATGTAGTTCGTTGTTTGATGAAACACTGTATGTGGTCATATGATTCAGTGAACTGGAACAGAGGTACATACACTCTTTTTGTATTCTCTCTGTATAGATATACACAACTCATAATGACCGAGTGTGTTACACGATGTTCATCCAATAATTTTAAGAGAAAGACGAATTTTTGTTTTAAGCCCAAAGTTCTCATTCTATCCGAGGATGTAGTAAGAAATTTTCTAGCACTCAATTAGAAATGAAAAATAATGTAACTATTTAAGGTTGAAATAATGCAAAAATGGAACAGAATTTTTTTTCATATTGTCGACTATAGTTGGATAGAGTTCATCGATTTACATTGAAAAAAGTGTATTTTAGACTTTCTGAAGTCGTTTTTGGGTGAAAAATTTTCAAAATATTGATTTTTAAAAAGAAGCAGAAATACGTGAAATTCTAAGAAATAAGCAAAATTTTCAGATTTATTCTTGCTCTATGATTTTGTACCTAATTTTTTTCTGATTCGGTGTACAAAACTGACTTTCGCATCAAAAACCGAATCGAATGATGTGTATTTCTATTCTATTCGACTACTTCTGTTTTTTTTCAAACTTTCACGTCGAAAAATTACTGAGATATCCGCAAAAAAGAAAAAATCAACGAAAAATTTCGAAACATGTATCATTCGACTCAGGTACTTCCATTTTGGTCCGCCCAGTTTATACAGACATAATAGCCGAAAAAATTTCAAGAGTCTTGTCGCGCAGAGCATAAACTGTTACATAGAATTCCGTATTTGTTCACTAAAATAGTCATATTCTACATGCCTTCAGGAATGTCAAGTTTCCATCCTCTCTCTGATAGAGGAATCTTGATCTTGTTTTTCTCTG